CTGCAACATTAACACCCCTCCTTCAGAGTGCAGGCACTGTACTTCCCATCTCCAGGACTCAAGTCCGGCCTGCCGGTTTCCCTGAACCCCTTCATAAATGTTACTTTGCTCACACTCCAACAGCACATCAAGTATTAAAAACCATTTGTCTCCATTCACTCCTACCAAACACGCTCACTCCTCATAAAAACTCTTTACAGAATTTAGTAACTTACCACCTATTCCATATACTTTAAACATCTGCCACATTGCTCCCCCTATCCACTCTATCCTATGCCTTTTCTAAATCCATAAATGCAATAAAAACTTCCTTACCTTTATCTAAATACTGTTCACATATATGCTTCAATGTAAACACTTGATCTACACATCCCCTACCCACTCTGAAACCTCCTTGCTCATCCGCAATCCTACATTCTGTCTTACCTCTAATTCTTTCAATAATAACCCTACCGTACACTTTTCCTGGTATACTCAGTAAACTTAGTCCTCTTTAATTTTTACAATCTCTTTTGTCCCCCTTCCCTTTATATAAAGGGGCTATACACACACTCTGCCAATCCCTAGGTACCTTCCCCTCTTTCATACATTTATTAAACAAAAATACCAACCATTCCAACACTATGTCCCCCCTGCTTTTAACATTTCTGTCATGAACCCGTCAGTTCCAGCTGCTTTGCCCCCTTTCATTCTATGTAATGCCTCACACACCTCCCCCACACTCATATCCTGCTCTTCTTCACTCCTAAAAGATGATATACCTCCCTGGCCAGTTCATGAAATTACCGCCTCCCTTTTTTCGTCGACATTTAAAAGTTCCTCAAAATATTCTCGCCATCTACCCAAAACCTCCATCTCCCCATCTACTAACACCCCTTCTCCGTTTTTAACTGACAAATCCATTTGTTCCCTAGGCTTTCTTAACTTGTTTAACTCACTCCAAATTTTTTTCTTATTTTCATTAAAATTCCTTGACAGTACCTCTCCCACTCTATCATCCGCTTTCCTTTTGCACTCTTCAACGACTCTCTTCACCTTTCTTTTACTCTCCATATACTCTACTCTTCTTATAACACTTCTGCTTTGTAAATACCTCTCATAAGCTACCTTTTTCTCTTTTATCACACCCTTTACTTCTTCATTCCACCAATCACTCCTCTTTCCTCCTGCACCCACTCTCCTATAACCACAACCTTCTGCCCCACATTCTAATACAGTGGTCCCCCGCTTTTCGTAGTTCCCGGCAATCGTAAAATTCGCCAATCATAGGGGGATTTTCGTATAAACATGGACTCGCTTTTCATAGGTTGACTCGCGAGTCGTAGTTCGTCCGGGACGCGTACGCACGGTGTGGGCCAGGGCGGCAGCCAGTCTGGCATTGTTTACCAGTGAGCGAAGGCCCCCTCGCGTGCTCCAGCGAAATATTTCATAATATTCCATTTATTTTAGTGCTTGCAAGTAGTAAATAAGCTACCATGGCAAGCCTGTGGTAAAGAAGGTGAGAAATACGATTGAATTTAAGAAAACCATCATTGAACAATATGAAAGTGGTAGAAGTGTGGCCGAACTGTCCAGGATGTATAAGAAACCCTACACAACCTTATGTTCCATAGTGGCCAAGAAAAATGAAATAAAGGATGCTGTTGTTGCAAAGGGAGTAACTATGCTGACAAAAATGAGATCACCAGTACTGGAAGAGGTTGAGAAGTTATTATTGGTGTGGATAAATGAGAAACAATTAGCAGGAGATACTCTTATGACTTTGTTTATTTGGGAAAAGGCTAGGCAGTTGCATGAAGATTTGGTAAAGAAATTGTCTGCAAATAGTGGTGAAGTGAGTGGATTTAAGGCCAGCAAAGGCTGGTTTGAGAGATTTAAGAACCGTACTGGCATACACAGTGTGGTAAGGCATGGTGAAGCTGCCAGTCTGGACCACAAGGCGGCTGAAAAATATGTGCATGAATTAAAGGAGTACATAGAGGCTGACGGACTGAAACCTGAACAAGTGTTAAATTGTGATGAAACACGCCTCTTTTGGAAGAAAATGCCAAAGAGGACCTTCATTACACAAGAGGAAAAGGCAATGCCAGGACATAAGCCTATGAAAGACAGGCTGACGCGCTAATGCTAGTGGGGATTTAAAAGTGAAGCCATTACTAGTGTACCATTCTGAAAATCCCAGAGTGTTCAGAAAAAACAATGTTATGAAGAGTAAATTGTGTGTGTTTTGGAAATCTAATAGTAAGGCATGGGTCACGAGGGAAATTTTCGTCGAGTGGTTCAATGAAGTGTTTGGCCCTAGTGTGAAGGAGTATCTCCTGGAAAAGAAATTGGATCTCAAGTGCGTGCTAGTAATGGACAATGCACCTGCTCATCCTCCAAACTTGGATGACCTAATTTTCGAGGAGTTTGGGTTCATCACAGTAAAGTTCTTGCCCCCGAATACCACTCCTCTCCTCCAACCCATGGACCAGCAGGTTATTGCAAACTTTAAAAAACTCTACACAAAAGCAATGTTTCACAGGTGCTTGACTGTGACCACAGACACTTACTTGACCCTAAGGGAATTTTGGAGAGAACACTTCAGCATCCTCCACTGCATAACCCTTATAGGTATGGCTTGGGAAGGAGTGACTACCAGGACTATGAACTCTGCCTGGAGAAAATTGTGGCCAGATTGTGTTGACAAGAGGGATTTTGAAGGATTTGGGACTGACCCTAATGAGCCTATGTCTGTTGTAAAATCAATTGTGGCACTGGGGAGTTCCATGGGGTTGGATGTGAGTTTGGAGGATGTGGAAGAATTGGTGGAAGACCACAATGAAGAGCTCACCACTGAGGAGCTGCAAGAGCTTCAGCAGGAAGAGCAATACATCGCAGCTCAGAATCTTGCTGCAGAGGAGGAGGAACAGAGATGGAAGACGGTGCCTTCTTCAGAAATTAAAGAGATTTTTACTATGTGGGGTAAGATGGAAAGCTCTATGGAGAAACATCACCCTAAGAAGGTTGTTGCAAGCCAGGTTGGCAACATGTACAGTGACAAAGTCTTGGGCCATTTTAGGGAAGTGTTAAAGAGACACCAGAAACAGAGCTCTCTCCACAGTTATTTTGTGAGACAGGACTCCAGTGACTCTCAAGGTGGTCCTAGTGGCATTAAGAAACAGAGAAGACAAGCAACCCCAGAAAAGCAAATGGTACCTGAGGTGTTGATGGAAGGGGATTCCCCTTCCAAACTATAAACAATCCATTCTCTCTCCTCCTCCGGTCTCCCATACACTAAGAAGAATCTCCAATAAAGGTAAGTGTTATGCTGTTAATGTTTCATTCATCATTTCCCATTGTATTGTTTATGTACTACATGTATATTTCATGTTAAAAATTTTTTTGTTTTAATACTTCTGGGTGTCAGGAACGGATTAATTGTATTTACATTATTTCTTATGGGGAAAATTGATTCGTAAATCGTAAATTTCGTTTATAGTAACGGCTCCAGGAACGGATTAATTACGAACAACAAGGGACCACTGTACTGCATTTTTAAAACTATTCCAACCCTCTTCAACCCCCCACTACTCATACTTGCACCAGCCCACCTTTCTGCCAATAGCTGCTTATATTTCACCTGAACTTCCTCCTTCCTAAGTTTATACACTTTCACCTCCCTCTTACTTGTTGTTGCCATTCTTCTCTTATCCCATCTACCTCTTACTGTAACTGTAGCTACAACTAGATAATGATCCTATATATCAGTTGCCCCTCTATAAACATGTACATCCTGGAGCCTACCCATCAACCTTTTATCCACCAATACATAATCTAACAAACTACTTTCATTACGTGCTACATCATACCTTGTATATTTATTTATCCTCTTTTTCATAAAATATGTATTACTTATTACCAAACCTCTTTCTACACATAACTCAATTAAAGGCTCCCCATTTTCATTTACCCCTGGCACCCCAAATTTACCTACTACTCCCTCCACAACATTTTTTTCCCACTTTAGCATTAAAATCCCCAATCACAAGTACTCTCACACTTGGTTCAAAACTTCCCATGCAATTACTCAACATTTCCCAAAATCTCTCTCTCTCCTCTATACTTCTCTCTTCCCCAGGTGCATAAACGCTTACAATAACCCACTTCTCACATCCAACCTTTATTTTACTCCACATAATCCTTGAATTTATATATTTATAGTCCCTCTTTTCCTGCCATAGCTAATCCTTCAACATTATTGCTACTCCATCTTCAGCTCTAACTCTATTAGAAACCCCTGACCTAATCCCATTTATTCCTCTCCACTGAAACTCACCCACCCCCTTCAGCTTTGTTTCACTTAAAGCCAGGATATCCAGCTTCTTCTCATTCATAACATCCACAATCATCTCTTTCTTATCATTCGCACAACATCCATGCACATTCAGACTTCCCACTTTGACAATTTTCTTCTTCTTATTCTTTTTAGTAATTTTTACAAGAAAAGGGGTTACTAGCCCATTGTTCCCAGCATTTTAGTTGACTTTTACAACACGCATGGCTTACAAAGGAAAGATTCTTATTCCACTTCCCCATGGATATAAAAGGAAAAGTAATTAGAACAAGAACTAAGATAAAATCAAAGAAAACTCAGATGAGTGTGTATAAATAAACGTGTATATGTATGTTTAGTGTGACCTAAGTGTAAGTAGAAGTAGCAAGACATACCTGTAATCTTGCATATTTATGAGACAGACAAAAGACACCAGCAATCCTACCATCATGTAAAACAATTACAGGCTTTCGTTTTACATTCACTTGGCAGAACGGTAGTACCTCCCTGGGTGGTTGCTGTCTACCAATTAAGGGAATACATGAACAACAGAAAACATAGCTGGTTTAAGGGTTATTCTTGTTTGATTTCTTTGACATCTGTTTCTATTATTTTCATTTACAAATAGTCAGTGTTGAACACAGTAACACACATCAATAAGAATGGGTTAAGCATAAAAGGATATAGTGTAGAGATATAAATGACCATGTGAGTGTTGTCTCAGCTATGCCGAGTAATTTTAGCAGAAGAGAAGACAATTCCTCATTCATTTTGCCTTCAACCTTCACCACCTCACCAAGGAGATTAACAATAAAGTGGAATATACGTCGCAAGTCCGTTCCCTGAAAATAAAAATTAATAAGCATTAATAACATTCATTAGGTTCTTTTGTACAGTGAACAATACTGATCAAACTTCAAAGATGAATAATGATACTCAGTAAAGCCATGGTTATTACACTTTTTGGCTTAGTACTACTTTTACACTCACTCTTATTATTAACCCAGTAACACTCGTATATATTCCACATCACTAACAGAGGACATCTACAAGACCTGCACGGCTACTTCTACTAACTCATCCCTTTGGGTAGGACCTGCTTCCACTTGGGAATCCCGCCTACCAGTGACTATGCCCTCGTCTGCTACACGTCCCTATCCACTGACGCCTATATAAACGCCAGTCTCCTTGCCTTTGCTTCAGAATCTCTATCACCACGGTGCTCTCAACACCAACTCCAAGGTTGAGAGACTGATTACCTCATCTTTTGTATATAGTTCTACTGTTTTCTAATTATGTCCTAGAATCTGTATTGATAAAGCCACTGGATGGCGAAATGTCTACAATAAAGATAACCAGATGTTGCACATGTGTCTTTACTTTCATGGATTTACTTAACATGGCATTTTCAGGAACATAACTACTGTGTAATATAATGGTCTACTGTATAATAAATTGGTCACTGCAGTAATACTCCTAACATGAGCTCTCATTGTATAGTTGCATTTCTTCCTTTAACCCTTTGACTGTCGCAACCCCAAATCCTGAGGTGTCTCCTGGTGTCGCAAAATATTTGAAAAAAAAAAAAAAATTATTTTTTCTTATGAAATGATAGAGAATCTTTTCCCAATGATAATGACACCAAAAGTATGAAATTAGATGGAAAACTTACGGAATTATGCTCTCACAAAATTAGCGACCTCGGCAACATTTACGCATCGGCGATTTCACCCACTTTGAGCCCTATTTTCGGTCAATTGCATTGTTCCAGTCAACCAAACTCATAGCTATTTCTTTAGAACTCCATTTGTTCTATTGATTGAGTACAAGAAGCCACCCATTTACTGATTTCAACTACCCAATAAAGTGGTCAGAAATTGGCAATTTGGCCAATTTCAAGCAAATTAAAAAATATGTCAATTTCAAAATAGGGTCCAGAATGAACAATGCTGACATTCCTGGCACTAAAATAACATTTTCTCTGTTCATTGGTCACATCTCCAGGCCCCTGTTATAATCCTCTTGCTTTCTATTTTGAATTTTTATTCACACGAAAAATAGAAGATTTACCGTTTTGCAGACTACTGCAATACTATAACAATTGTATAAATTATGTTAACCCATTCATGACTGCATATTAGAATGGCTAGTTGGACATTTATTGGACAATGATATCATTTGTGTACTCTTGAACATCAGCAAAAATTGAACATTTCTGCCACTTTGAGTTCCATTTCAAGATCCTTTTCATAGTAAAACCAATCATAATCACTTCTATTTCTATAATATGTTTTACATTCTATCAAATGAGACCAAGAAAACAAGAATACAACCATAAATACTATACAAAAATACACCTCAAATTCAGAGTTTTAATCCAAAAACACGGTCAGTTCTTTTTCTCATTATGCAATGCGTGCTGCAGGATTTTTTTTATATGGTGCACACTGACCACATAGACCCATTCTCTCACATGTGGGCCTACCAGCTTTTTCCTGCTTGATTTGAAGCTGCTAGAATTTTTGAGTATATATACGTCAAACACATTGGCTCATAAGACGTATATATACAACCAAAACAGTCAAAGAGTAAACATCTTCATTCATCTTCAGATTCCAGTAAAGTATTTCATTCCCTCTTAACTTCTTTCTTTTAATATAATTTTAGCAACATTCATTGCCTGTTGTCTTCTTTTATCATTCCTGATAACATTTAAAAATTTTCATGTAAGGTTTAATGGTAAATAGCCTACATTGCAACTATGGGAATATTATCTGAAACTTCACTGTAATCAACATGAACACAAGTAACTGTACCTCAAACTGTTTTTTAGCCTTGAAGTGCGTTTCCCAGGTAAGTCCCACATCCGTCGACTTTACAGTTACCGCATATTCTTGCATGAGAGCACTAATGATGCTACACCCAATCATGCGCTGAAACATATTTAACATCCATAGAGTAAAAATATATTGACAACATCCTGAGGTATTGCCGAAGCTATTAAATATCATTTAATTTCTTATGCATAAAAAAAACCACACCACGGGTGGGGTTTGAACCCGCAGTAAGAGAGTCGCAAAACTCCAGACCGGCGGGTTCAAACCCCACCCGTGGTATGGTTTGTTTGCAATCGTGTCATTACGATTTTGTGAGTCATTTCTTATGCATATTTTTATGTATGAAAATAAAGATGTTTAAAACCATTTTTAAGAAGAGAGTTCTCACAAAACAAATACAGTAAACTCTTGATAAAACGAACTAATAAAGTGGTTGTAGTCCACTTAATTGATTGACTACCAGACATGGACAAACACGTAATTTAAACAAACTTAGCGTGCTGTATTGATGTACTACCAGATAAACTAAGAATAAACCAGAGCACAATGATGATTACCTGTGCCTGAAAAGAAGACGAGTTAAATGTCCAGAAGAGTACAACAGAGTACAGTAATTATGCTTACTTCTTTTGGTGGATAGATGAGCTTAAAGATGTACAATAGTGCCATGTGGTCTATGTAGTGGTGATCCAGAGTAACTTATTCTGAGTTAGTGGAGCTGTAAAGCTCCACCTCAGCAGTAACATCACACAGGGGTAGATGGCTAGCATCTACACTGTACCTCATAGCATATTTTGTAAGTTTTTCCTTGCTTCTATGAATGTCATTCTTTGTTTTGCAACACCCGCCTCCTTGCACACCCTGACCAGCCTCCAACTTCATTAATTCAACTTTCTGCTTAACATTTAACCCTTTCAGGGTCCAAAGGCCAAATCTCAAGAGTGACAGCCAGGGTCCAAGAATTTAAAAAAAAAAAAAAAAAAAATTCTTATGAAATAATAGAGAATCTTTTTCTGAAGGTAATAATGCAAAATGTACAAAATTTGATGGAAAATTGACGAAATTGTGCTCTCGCGAATTTTGATACATCAGCAATATTTTCATATCAGTGATTTTGCCGACTTTAACTCCCATTTTAGGCCAATTACATAATTCCAGTCAACCAAATTCTTAGCTATTTCACTAGTATTACTTCTATTTTATTGACTGAGCACAAGAAATCATCCAGTCAACTGTTTCAACTACCCAATACAGTGATCGGAAATTAGTAATTTGGCCAATTTAACACAAAGTTCAAAATATTCCAGTTTCAAAACAGGGTCCAGAATAAACAATGCAAACATTCCTGGCACAAAACAAACATTTCTTCTGTTCATAAGTTATATTTTCAGGCTTTACAAATGAATTCCATTTTGTTTTTTTATACACATAATAAATTTTTATTCACACCAAAAAATAGAAGATTTACTGATATGCAATGTTGTAATAATTGTATAAATAACATCAGCACATTCGTGAACGTATATTAGACCCACAAGCTGATGCGCATTTGACTTGTGACAACATTTTTTTTAATCTTGAACACTGGCAAAAATTTAACAATTCCGATACATTGAGCTCAGTTTCAAGCCATTTTCAGTACTAAAACCAATCAAAATCATCTCTGTTTCTGTAATATATACATTATTCCATTTTATCAAATGAGACCAAGAAATCGCGAATACAACTGTAAAAAACACAAAAAACACCACAAATCACTGTTTTAATGCAAAATTTTTGTCAGTTTTTTTCTCTCATTATGCACTGCGTGCTGCAGGATCTGATTTATGTGGTGCACACTTACCACACAGATGTGTTCTCTCATATCTAGGCCCAAATTTACCGCTCACAGGTTATCTGAGTGAGCTGAGCTCATGACGCAGATCTACGGTTTGGACCCTGGCTTCAAAGCCATAGATCTACGGCATGGACCCTGAAAGGGTTAAGGTCACACATTTCTTGGCACTTGATTTAGAGGTCATTGTTAATAACACTATACACAGAAGAAAAATGATCAAAAACACTGTAAATCCAAGGAAAATTAGAGAAGAAGTGATAATATGAGCATGACCGTAGATAAGAACATAGTAACATGGACTGAGTCACTGCCCCCTCTGCCCAGAACAATGAAAATGGATGCTTTCAGGATGAACCCCAGACCATGCAAACCTGCAATTAAGCAGAGTTGGTCCATTTTATCGAGTTTATGACCAGACCAAACAGCCATTCAATATACGTAGTTGATTTGGTCCACTTCAGAGCTATTTTAACTGGACACCCTGTTAACCATACATGTTGAGCCTTTGTCTAGCCAAAATTTTTGTCTGTTTTAGCCAATATCTGCTTTATGGAGGTCCGTTTTATTGAGAGCTTACTGTAATTACAGACATACAGTACTTCAAATTAATTCTGTGATTAAACCAGTATACAATAATTTATTAGTTTAGTATAAACCAGACTAACCATTGTATTATCACCAGATGATATAAGCTGCTCCACTTCTGTCAGCAGCCTTCCCCTATCTTCTCCTTGGTCCTCGACACTACCTCGCTTCACCATTATACCAACAACCTGTAGAAATAAGTGAACTCCACTTAGTATCACTCCCTAGAATGTCAATATAAAGTGCTATAAATCCTTCATTATATAAGAATTTTCTCAAAGATGGTAGCATTTGCGTAAAGACAAACCTGTACTAGCGTCTCTCTGACATAATGGGGAATAGTACGTCTGCTGACAACATAATGAACAATGTACTGTCTGAGCTGCAAGCTGTCTTCCTTGCTCAAGTCACGCCATTCTCGAATCACCCCCACCCGCAGGAGGGTTGCTGCCTCGAATAACAGGTAATCCACCTGTGTTGTCTCTGTATAAGACAACATTAACATGTTAAAAAAAAATGTACAAGAAACCTGCAACAGAAGTGTAATTAATCTTAATGATTCATCTGTATTTCCTAACTTGTATTGTATCAAGGGAAAATGTTCACATTTCTTTATTAAAAAGCACCATGATGTACAAATGTAGCTGATAATCAAAGTAATAATAAAAGTCTTTGTTTAGCTCAGGAAAAAAGGATTCAACAACACTATGGTTTTGGATGAAGAAAGATACATGATGATAAAATATTTATTGTGGTATTATAAGAGAATAATTGGGGAAACATCATTGTTGATGGAGGTCAGGGCCTCACCTAAAGAATATGTTTAGTGACCAATAAAAATAATGACAAACAAACATACAATACAAACTTAATTTCTATAAAGTGCAGTACAGTATGTTATACATTTAGGGTGACTGACATACAGTGGAACCTCTACTGACAAGTGCCCCAACGTTTGAGTTTTTCAAGAAACGAGCAGTCACTCGGTCAATTTTTTGCTTCCAGATGCGAGCGAAATTTCAAGATGCGAGTGGGCCTCAAGGGAGGTTCCTTGATGCTTGTGAGGGGCTCTTGCTCTTGATCTAGGGACTTGGATCTCAGTTGTTTGTTGGACTATCTTACTGAAACTTGGGCAACTTATGATGCAAAGATCCTTCTTAACGTTCACCAAAATTGAAAGAAATCAGACCACACATAATGGAGTTCACTTCTCAGCCATTAGCTGCCCCTTAGCGGTATATTTTTGTATGGTTTTTATGGTTATATTCTTGTTTTTTGGTCTCATATGACAGAATGGAAGATATGTTACAGAAATAGTTATGATTCTGATTGGTTTCACGACAAAAGGTACAGGTCCTCCATCACAAATCCGGCATCATTGGGGCCTGTACTGTGCCAGATTACTGAATTTGCCAAATTACAGAGTGGTTAGGTTAGAATACACTTAATAAAATTAACCAACTTGACTTACACAGTTCATTGAACATTGGCAAAAATCGAACATTTCCGCTACTTTGAGCTCAATTTCAAGATACTTTTCATCATGAAAGCAATCAAAATCATGTCTATTTCTGTAATATATCTTCCATTCTATCAAATGAGTCCAAAAAAATGAGAATACAACCATAAAAACCACACGAAAATATACTGCAAAGAGGCGGCTAATGGTTGAGAAGTGAACTCCCTTATTTATCGTCCATCTTTTTTATTTTTGTTGTACATTAACCCTCAAATGGTCCAAACGTATATATATGTTTTTTCAACATCTGAAAGTATGTAAAAAAATGTAGATCTTTTTTGTTTTACATTTGAAAACGTGTAAAAAAACTTTTATCTACATTTTTTTTTTTTGTTATATTTGAAAATATGTAAAAAAAAGTAGATCTACTTTTGTAGCACTACGAATTTGAACGTCAATCTGTTTGGACCATTTAAGGGTTAAGAAGCATCTTTCCATCATACATTGCCCAAGTTTCAATGAGATAGCCCAACAAACAACCAAGAAAAAAAAATTTTTATTATTTTTTTATTATTATCACACTGGCCGATTCCCACCAAGGCAGGGTGGCCCGAAAAAGAAAAACTTTCACCATCATTCACTCCATCACTGTCTTGCCAGAAGGGTGCTTTACACTACAGTTTTTAAACTGCAACATTAACACCCCTCCTTCAGAGTGCAGGCACTGTACTTCCCATCTCCAGGACTCAAGTCCGGCCTGCCGGTTTCCCTGAACCCCTTCATAAATGTTACTTTGCTCACACTCCAACAGCACGTCAAGTATTAAAAACCATTCGTCTCCATTCACTCCTATCAAACACGCTCACGCACACCTGCTGGAAGTCCAAGCCCCTCACACACAAAACCTCCCCTCCTTTACCCCCTCCCTCCAACCTTTCCTAGGCCGACCCCTACCCCGCCTTCCTTCCACTACAGACTGATACACTCTTGAAGTCATTCTGTTTCGCTCCATTCTCTCTACATGTCCGAACCACCTCAACAACCCTTCCTCAGCCCTCTGGACAACAGTTTTGGTAATCCCGCACCTCCTCCTAACTTCCAAACTACGAATTCTCTGCATTATATTCACACCACACATTGCCCTCAGACATGACATCTCCACTGCCTCCAGCCTTCTCCTCGCTGCAAACATTCATCACCCATGCTTCACACCCATATAAGAGTGTTGGTAAAACTATACTCTCATACATTCCCCTCTTTGCCTCCAAGGACAAAGTTCTTTGTCTCCACAGACTCCTAAGTGCACCACTCACCCTTTTCCCCTCATCAATTCTATGATTCACCTCATCCTTCATAGACCCATCTGCTGACACGTCCACTCCCAAATATCTGAATACATTCACCTCCTCCATACTCTCTCCCTCCAATCTGATATCCAATCTTTCATCACCTAATATTTTTGTTATCCTCATAACCTTACTCTTTCCTGTATTCACTTTTAATTTTCTTCCTTTGCACACCCTACCAAATTCATCCACCAATCTCTGCAACTTCTCTTCAGAATCTCCCAAGAGCACAGTGTCATCAGCAAAGAGCAACTGTGACAACTCCCACTTTATGTGTGATTTTTTATCTTTTAACTCCACGCCTCTTGTCAAGACCCTCGCATTTACTTCTCTTACAACCCCATCTATAAATATATTAAACAACCATGGTGACATCACACATCCTTGTCTAAGGCCTACTTTTACTGGGAAATAATTTCCCTCTTTCCTATGTACTCTAACTTGAGCCTCACTAACCTCGTCAAAACTCTTCACTGCATTCAGTAACCTACCTCCTACACCATACACCTGCAACATCTGCCACATTGCCCCCCTATCCATCCTGTCATACGCCTTTTCCAAATCCATAAATGCCACAAAGACCTCTTTAGCCTTATCTAAATACTGTTCACTTATATGTTTCACTGTAAACACCTGGTCCACACACCCCCTACCTTTCCTAAAGCCTCCTTGTTCATCTGCTATCCTATTCTCCGTCTTACTTTTAATTATTTCAATAATAACTCTACCATACACTTTACCAGGTATACTCAACAGACTTATCCCCGTATAATTTTTGCACTCTCTTTTGTCCCCTTTGCCTTTATACAAAGGAACTATGCATGCTCTCTGCCAATCCCTAGGTACCTTACCCTCTTCCATACATTTATGAAATAATTGCACCAACCACTCCAAAACTATATCCCCACCTGCTTTTAACATTTCTATCTTTATCCCATCAATCCCGGCTGCCTTACCCCCTTTCATTTTACCTACTGCCTCACGAACTTCCCCCCCACTCACAACTGGCTCTTCCTCACTCCTACAAGATGTTATTCCTCCTTGCCCTATACACGAAATCACAGCTTCCCTATCTTCATCAACATTTAACATTCCTCAAAATATTCCCTCCATCTTCCCAATGCCTCTAACTCTCCATTTATAACTCTCCTCTCCTATTTTTAACTGACAAATCCATTTGTTCTCTAGGCTTCCTTAACTTGTTAATCTCACTCCAAAACTTTTTCTTATTTTCAGCAAAATTTGTTGATAACATCTCACCCACTCTCTCATTTGCTCTCTTTTTACATTGCTTCACCATTCTCTTAACCTCTCTCTTTTTCTCCATATACTCTTCCCTCCTTGCATCACTTCTACTTTGTAAAAACTTCTCATATGCTAACTTTTTCTCCCTTACTACTCTCTTTACATCATCATTCCACCAATCGCTCCTCTTCCCTCCAGCACCCACTTTCCTGTAACCACAAACTTCTGCTGAACACTCTAACACTACATTTTTAAACCTACCCCATACCTCTTCGACCCCATTGCCTATGTTCTCATTAGCCCATCTATCCTCCAATAGCTGTTTATATCTTTCCCTAACTGCCTCCTCTTTTAGTTTATAAACCTTCACCTCTCTCTTCCCTGATGCTTCTATTCTCCTTGTATCCCATCTACCTTTTACTCTCAGTGTAGCTACAACTAGAAAGTGATCTGATATATTTGTGGCCCCCTATAAACATGTACATCCTGAAGTCTACTCAACAGTCTTTTATCTACCAATACATAATCCAACAAACTACTGTCATTTCGCCCTACATCATATCTTGTATACTTATTTATCCTCTTTTTCTTAAAATATGTATTACCTATAACTAAACCCCTTTCTATACAAAGTTCAATCAAAAGGCTCCCATTATCATTTACACCTGGCACCCCAAACTTACCTACCACACCCTCTCTAAAAGTTTCTCCTACTTTAGCATTCAGGTCCCCTACCACAATTACTCTCTCACTTGGTTCAAAGGCTCCTATACATTCACTTAACATCTCCCAAAATCTCTCTCTCTCTCCTCTGCATTCCTCTCTTCTCCAGGTGCATACACGCTTATTATGACCCACTTCTCGCATCCAACCTTTACTTTAATCTACATAATTCTTGCATTTACACATTCATATTCTCTTTTCTCCTTCCATAACTGATCATTCAACATTACTGCTGCCCCTTCCTTTGCTCTAACTCTCTCAGATACTCCAGATTTAATCCCATTTATTTCCCCCCACCGAAACTCCCCTATCCCCTTCAGCTTTGTTTCGCTTAGGGCCAGGACATCCAACTTCTTTTCATTCATAACATCAGCAATCATCTGTTTCTTGTCATCTACACTACATCCACGCACATTCAAGCATCCCAGTTTTATAAAGTTTTTCTTCTTTTCTTTTTTAGTAAATGTCTACAGGAGAAGGGGTTACTAGCCCATTGCTCCCGGCATTTTAGTCGCCTCATACGACACGCATGGTTTACGGAGGAAAGATTCTTTTCCACTTCCCCATGGACAATAGAAGAAATAAAGAAGAACAAGAGCTATGCAGAAAAGGAGAAAAACCTAGATGTATGTATATATATATATATGCATGTGCATGTCTGAGAAGTGTGACCAAAGTGTAAGTTGGAGTAGCAAGATATCCCTGTTATCTAGCGTGTTTATGAGACAGAAA